AATAATACAACATGAAAGCAGTAAAATAAAGCAATAAAGTAGTACAAGGCAAAGGTTTCGACCTGTCATGGGCATGCGGCCATGGGCGACATGCTTTGGATGGACACTCAGCGTCCTCGCCGGCACACCACCCCATATTTGGCTCTAATACCATTTGTAACAGCTCAACCGCTAGTATATATTGCAAATTACAATTTGATCCCTGAAGTTTTAAATTTTACCATTTAGTCCTTAGGAGAATTATTTACTAGATTTTATGGAATAAATTAAATTTAACTTTTTTTTTTTTGGATATTTAAAAAATTAAAAAAATCAGGAAAGAAAAAGTGGTTGGTGGTGATCATGGATGTATGAGATCTTTCACATAAACTTATCCTCACATCAACCACTTCATTTCCTCTCCAATCTCCTCCACCCAATCCCTAATCCCCTTCCCATTTCTTCTTCTCTCTGCTTGTTCTTCCATTTCTCTCCCAAGCCTCCCTCTCTCTCTCTCTCTCTCTCTCTCTCCGAATCCTCTCCTTCTCCAGCAGCCATGGCCGCTGCAGTCACTGCTGCAGTTTCTTTCCCCTCCGCCACAAAATCCTCTTCTCTCACTTCCAGAACCGCGCTAATTTCCCCTGACAGAATCGCTCTCAAGAAGGCAAGCACATTCCGAGCCCTAATTTCTGCATTTCCTCCAACTCGATGATTTTCGCGATTTCTTTAATGTCTTCGGTTGATTTGATTTGATTTCATTTCATTTTTCAGGTTCCGGCGTTGTTCCATCATGGCGGAAGAGTGGTGGTGGCTCCGATTAGAGCTCAGGTGACCACGGAGGCACCGGCGAAAGTGGAAAAAGAGTCGAAGAAGCAAGAAGAAGGAATCGTGGTGAATAAGTTTAAGCCTAAGAGTCCGTACGTCGGACGCTGCCTTTTGAACACGAAGATCACTGGCGATGATGCTCCTGGTGAGACTTGGCATATGGTCTTCAGTACTGAAGGTAAGTCCATCTGAATCTAACTCACTATTTACAGTTTCACTGATTCATCAATTTCAATGGTCGATTCATTCATTGATAGTGCTTGATTCTGCGTTTTGAGGCTGATTTTGGAAGAGATGAATTCATATCTTTGTTTAGGCATTTCGAAATCATCGTCTTCGCATTCATATGGTTTATGGATTCAATTACATCTTACTCGTCTTATCATTTGGTTGAACTTCAGGAATTCGTTTCTCACTTTTCTCGAGTGTTTGTACTGATTTTACAGAGACTAAATTGAAAATTTTAAACATAGAAGGATTAAATTGAAATTTTTAAACTTAGAAGGACTAAATTGAAATTTTTAAACTTAGAAGGACCAAAATGAAAAATCTAAAAATTATAGGATGAAATTGAAATTTTCAATTTTATACTTTACAAATGGACTAAATTGACACTTTTTTTTTTTAATCGAACAAATAAAATCTTTTAAAAATATCTAAATATGATTAGAAAAATTTAAATCATACCAACCAAACTAAAATTTTTTAAATTATATGAATCAAATAGAATTTTTATTTATTTATTTATTGTGAGTTGGTTTGTAGGGGAAGTGCCGTACAGAGAAGGGCAGTCAATTGGGGTAATTGCTGATGGAGAGGACAAGAACGGGAAGCCTCATAAGCTCCGATTATACTCCATTGCTAGCAGTGCCCTCGGTGATTTTGGAGATTCCAAGACTGTATAACCTTCTTCCTTCTTTTTCTTCCCTTACAACAAAATAATTAAATTATTTTCTTTTATATATATATATATATATATATATATATATATATATATATATATATATAATTTTTTGAATTAGTAACAAAATGGAGTAATTATTGGAGTAATTATTATAAACTCTGTTCAGGTTTCTCTGTGTGTGAAGCGGCTTGTGTACACCAACGACCAAGGAGAGATCGTGAAAGGAGTTTGTTCTAACTTTTTATGTGAGTTTTATAATTAATATATATTTAATCTCTGTTTTAATGTAAGATTTTGAAAATTAAGCAAATAATTTGGTATAAAAATTAAAAGAATTCTCCATTGTATTTAATTTATTTTGTAATTGTAGGTGACCTGAAACCTGGAGCAGAGGTGAAGATTACAGGACCTGTAGGAAAAGAAATGCTTATGCCTAAAGATCCCAATGCTACAGTTGTCATGGTAACCCACAATTACCCACAAATCATCCCAAATAATAATAATAATAATAACAACAACAAGTAATTGAAATTAGTAATTTTCACTTTTTATGTAAATTCAAGTAGAACTTTATCGTCAAATTTAAATAATTTTTTGGTTACCTTTAGTCTGGAAATTTTTAATTTTGTTTTTATTTAGACATAAATTTAAATGTTTGGAATCAGAATAGGTATAAAATAAATGAAAATTTAAAAATTTAACGATTTATTAGATATTTTTCTTAATTGACTTTTGTTCTTTTTTTTTTTTTTTTTTTAATTTTATTTAAATGGGTGGAATTGTGTTGGTGCATTAGCTTGCAACTGGAACTGGAATTGCTCCATTTAGATCATTTTTGTGGAAAATGTTCTTTGAGAAGCATGATGACTACAAGGTACTAATAATAATGCTTACAAACTTATTTATTTTTTATGATTCTAATTTGAATTCATAATTTTTATTAACATCTCAATCCATCCATCTTATGCTGTGTAGTTCAATGGATTGGCATGGCTCTTTTTGGGTGTCCCGACAAGTAGCTCGCTTCTCTACAAAGAGGTAAAAACGAGAAATCCTAATACAACCTCAGAAATTATACTTTTGTACGATACAAAGGAAACCAAAATCACGAACATGTGAAAATATCGATAATTTGAGTTTGTTAAATGAAATAGGAGTTCGAGAAAATGAAAGAGAAGTACCCCGAGAACTTCAGGTTGGACTTTGCAGTTAGTCGAGAGCAAACAAACGAACAGGGTGAGAAAATGTACATCCAAACCAGAATGGCTCAATACGCCGAGGAGCTTTGGGAATTATTGAAGAAAGACAACACCTTTGTCTACATGTGTGGACTCAAGGGCATGGAGAAGGGAATCGATGACATTATGGTCTCTTTGGCTGCTAGAGATGGTTAGATTTTTTCCCTTTTATTTCTCTTTTTGTCAATTTATTAGGGTTTTTTTTTTTTTTCGGAATAAATTAAAATAGTATTATTATTATTATTTATTATTTATTATTTATTATTATTTGGTAGGGATTGATTGGCTGGAGTACAAGAGGCAGTTGAAGAAATCAGAGCAATGGAATGTGGAAGTTTATTAATTTTATAAATATAATATTTTCTACATTTTGACTTCAACATCTCTCTTTCAACCCCTCCCCCCACCATTATTATGTAGATATAGTTAATTCCCTTTTTATAATTTTCTGTATTTTTCTCTCTTTTTAATTTTGAATTCTTGTTCATTAAGCTCATAAAAATTAAAAAAGAAAAAACTTCGAAATTATGTCCTAACGAATACTTTTTGCTCCAATTCTTTCTCTCGTTTTATTTTCAGGTTAAGACATGAACTTTAGCTTTACAAGAACGAGTTATTGATCGTTCAAATAAGTGTTGTTAAGTGTCTTTTGAGATTGAATATGCAAAAACTGTTTATAGTATCTACTTCTTTCACCAATATTTGAATAGTTTGAAACGTTGGATTTAAATTTAGGGGTTTCGTTAATAAATCATGGCTCGACGTTTAAACTATACCCAAAATTGTCTAAGTCATTTTTTAGATCCAATCCAATTATTTGGCCGTCATTATATATCTTAAAAATTTACTATTCAAAGAGTTAAAAATTGTTTTAAAAAATTTCTTGAGGATAAATAATAAAAAAAATGTATGCATATATATATATAGTCGTGTCGTACGCAAAATGTACACCTAATCAACAATAAATTCAGGTTGGTTCGGTCCAATCCAATCTAGTTCTAGGAAAACTCACGAAACCAATCCAATTTACAAAGTAACTCAACCCAACTAAATAGTTTGGATTAGGTCGATCAAATTTTTTTGAACATCCTTAATATCAATTTGTTGTTAGAGACGTTCACAAAGTAGGGCGGGGATGGAAAAGCCTTCCCCGTCCCATGTTTCTGAAATTCCCAATTAGATTCCCATAAAACAAAAATGGGTAGAAATCAGGTTTGGGTAATTTTTTCTCGTTTATTATTTTATTAAAAAAATAGTTTGTTTTAAAATTTTTATTAAAAAAATCCTATTAAATCCTAACACACGTATATATAATATGTTATAATTTTTAAAAATTCAAATTTTAATTTTAAAACATAGTCTTTAACAATAAAAAAAATCCACAACATAATAATTTAAAATTAGATCCGTAATGAAATCTAAACTAATCTATTACTTAGCTCATATTTTCTATTAATTAGTTAGCTATGTTTTTTTTATTTTAAAAACACTCTTGCATGTGACCAAATTGCTCTTAAAAAAAGTAATAATATATTAATTAGCTAAAATTTCCTTTTTTTTTTATTTAAAAAAAAGACATATTTATTTGAGCTCAATGTCGCCCATAAAGTGGGCCAGAGTCCAATCATGTGAAATGTTTGATTATTTTAATGACATGTCGTTTTGAGCTTTCCCAACGTTGTAACTAACTAATTTATTTTAATTAATTAAAAAAAAACATCAAATCCATTTAATTATAATTTTTATAAATTAATCAATTTAGTTTTTACTTAAGATTCTATTTATAAATCCTTCATTTATAATTAAATAACATCAATTTATTATTAATATGAGTAATTATTATGTAATAATTCTTTTTTGTTATTTTAGTAAAATTTTAAGAGAAAAATAATTTTATTTATATATTTTAAGCTGATTTCATCTAATTTCATAATTAAAAATATATATTTCCAAATAAAAGCAATATTCACGAATCTAAAAAATAAAAAGAAAAATTAAAAAAAAAAAAAAAAAAAAAAAAAAAAAAAAAATGGGGAATAAAATCGTTANCGGATTAGGGTTTTGGATGAAGCGTTAGAAGTTCCCGAGATCTCATTCTCTTCGCCTTCTATATATTTTGAAACCCTTTTTGTTCTTTTTCTCTGAGTCGCCATTTTTGTTGCAGAGAGATCGGTTTTAACTTTGAAGATGGGGGAAGAGAGATTGACTGGTGTGGTTCAATGGTTCAACGATTCGAAGGGGTTCGGGTTCATCAAGCCAGATGTGGAAGGACCTGATCTGTTTGTTCATCAATCCTCCATAAAATCAGATGGCTACCGTAGCCTTGTCGTTGGAGATCATGTTGAGTTTCAGATCGCTTCGGGTGATGATGGGAAATCGAAAGCTATTGAGGTCGTTGCGCTTGATGGATCTTCGGGAAATCGGAGGGATAACTTTGGGGGTGGTGGTGGACGGGGCGGCCGGGGCGGCGGGGGTTATGGGTTTGGTGGTTGGAGGGGCGGTGATAGGCGGAATGGCAGCAGTGGAGCCGGTGGGGGTGGGTGTTATCAATGTGGTGAGCAAGGGCATTTGGCTAGAGACTGTGCCCGTGCTAGTAACCGCGGCGGAGGAGGTGGCAGCGGTGGTGGTTGTTTTACTTGCGGTGAAGTTGGCCACTTAGCAAGGGATTGTCCACGAGGAAACAGCGGCGGAGGCGGCGGCGGGGCCGGTGGTGGGGGTTGTTATAATTGTGGTGGTTTTGGGCACTTGGCTAGGGATTGCAATAGGGGTGGAGCTGGAGGTGGAAGTGGTGGTGGTGGTGGTGGTTGCTTTAATTGTGGGGAGTATGGGCATTTAGCCAGAGATTGCCAGAATGAAAGCCGTAACAGCGGCGGCGGCGGAAGATTTGGTGGCGGAGGTGGCGGTGGCGCCAACACTTGCTTCAATTGCGGGAAATCGGGGCATTTTGCTAGGGAGTGTCCTGATGCACCATGATAAGGAGAGGAAAAAGAGTAATAGTATATAATTTTTCCTTTTACTTCAATATTGTCCTTTAATTATGTTCTTCTTTTGGTGTGGATGGTGGCTCTACGTAGCTTACTTGAGAATTTTTTTATTAATTTTTATCCCATGGTTGTTTCGCTCCTTAGGGGCAAATTTTCTGGTTCATACAATGTTCTAATTCGGATAAATGAGGCATTTTATCCTTCTTGCCTTCTTTAGTTATGATGCCAATATTTTTGTATCCCTTTTTTTGTTTGAATTTTAGTTCAATAATGACCTTTTAGATCTCGGTTTCATATTCGAATCAATGCCTGCCTTAATTGTCATTATCCATGTTAGCATCTAATGCTTCATTGGGTTGAAGTAGCTATGTTGGATTGATTTATACATTATTAGCATGATCTTTGGTTTTGCATTGCCATACCAGGCCTTCATTTTTGTTTGCCTCTTCATCATCAAGAAGGGATATGTCTTATAGAATTCATTTAGTCTGATCCTCTTAAGAGTAGGCATGTTTTCGTGCGCTCTGCTCTGTCTTGTTGATCTTCTTAGCACTATGTTCTGTTCTATAATTTGTTGTGGAAGTGTTTTAGAGGCTGTTGGATCTATGTTTTAAATCTTTTGTGTCCTCTATACTTTCAAGTTTCATAGATTTGACTCCTAGCAGTCAAACTCATTGTGAACCATTGAATTAAAAGAAGACTAATGTCTTCTTGACACTTTATTACTTCCATTCTAGAAATGAATGCTTGTAAGTGAAAGGTTACAATCGTGTTCATGTGAAGGTGATGTGTAGATCAGGGGTGCCCTTTCTTCTTCTTAAGGAGTTGGGATGGTTAAGGATTTTTTTTTTCTTTTTTCTTTTGGTTTAATCTATCATTTTAGTAGGAATCTTAGAAAACATAGTGCAAATCAAAGGAATGAACTTCTTTTAGTTTGTTCGAATAGCTAGATTAAGGTTCTAAAACTCATCTCTACGCCCGATGCAAGGATTTTTTCCCTGGTAGATAATAAACATTTTGTGTTGGTTTTGGGGATTAGTATGCTTCTTTTCTTCATTTTTATCATTTTCTGTTCTCAAGGAGTTTTGTTTTGTGGGCTTTTGGATTAAGAATTGAATACTCAGGAGAGTCAGGAAGGAGTTTTAAATCCCTACTTATCCTCCCCCAAATCCTTCCTTTACTAATACCTTAATGATTAGTTTGTCCATTATTGCTTGAACAAAGAGAGGAATATAGGATCATATGTACAATTTAGTTAAAATGCTCTTTTAGCATGCATTCTTCTGTTTGATCGATGTTGATGATTATAATTCAGCTCAATACCTTAGTTTCTGCTCATCTTGTGAGGAGCTGATGAAATCTCTCTCATTGCCATTGTTTTGTTCTCTTTAGCTCTCTGGTTCTTTTCTTCATTGCTACTTGGTATTGAGTTGCAAAAATTCGCAACATTAAAAGCTTGCGGCTGCTGAATGGCTGCTCGGAGAACTTGTGAGCTTTTCAATTTGAATCGAGTTCGTTTGTGCATACTCTCATCGTTCATTGAGTGTCTACAATGCCTGATTGTCATCTCTCATGAGATGTTTTTCATCAAACAGGATGAGTTTCATAGTCTTGTAAATTGTTTCTTAGGTTTAAGTTTGTTGATTGAACTCTTAGCTTTAGCTTAGGAATGTGAAAATCTGGACCCTTCTTCTTTAGTGCATCCCACTGATCCATTGTTTAAATGATTGAATTGATGGCCAATCCTCTCAGATATCTGTAAACAATCATGTGCCTCTCTTTCTTAGGTTAAAAACTGAACTAAAGGGAGGAAGATCTTAATGTTTTCTCTATATTTTGTTACACTAGAAGTTCAAACCAAAAAATTTCATCTTGGTTTTAACCATTTTGTTCGTGTTAGAGCGATCGGGGATCTCGAGAGTATATATGCAAAGTTTTAAGAGATTTTAAAGCTTTCCTTTTTGTTATTCATGTATATTTTTTTTGTTGGAGTTTATGCTTTTTGTGTAAGGGGATGGCGAAGAAAGGAAGCTGAAAATATGAAGTTTTCTAAATCAGTGTGTGCTTACAGCACAGTGTGGCCGGGAGTTATGTCGGGCGACGCCTTCGTCCTGCTACACCCAGGAGAGTGGAACGCCATCACCATGCTCGCGGTCGTGGTCCGGCTGCATCTGCGGCCGCACATATTGCTCCGAAGAAGCAGCAGCCAGGCAGATTCTCCGACTAAGTTCAGGCTGAATGGTGCTGGCGGGGTTGGTTGATTTCATTTTACAAATATTAGTATTAAATATCACGTTGACCCGAGATTAGATCTTTTTTATTTGACATCTAAGTTATAGGAGGATTGATCGATGAACTTAGAATGGATAGTGATGTAAACCATTTTAGTGCAGGGCTCGTTAGACTCTTCAGGAATAGGCGCTGATTAATTAGGTGAAAGAAAATACGAGGTTACTTCATTCAAGAAAACATGAAAGGATAATTTGAATATCTTGAATTTGGTCGTAGCATCTATACTTGGATTGAGCATATCCTTGAAAGAATCGAATCGAATGTATCTTTCGAGCCTTCTACCTTCCTCTCTCATCATATCCACTTTTTTTGTAATACCCATTAACGTGATGGTTTGTCCCACCATTTCAATGGACTCTCCTACTAAACGCAAATTCTTCTTGGTTCATGAATCGTTTATCAACATCCAATGATTCAAGCATTCAATGGATATGATATGATACGAGTATCAATACACAGAAAACAATAATTTAATAATAAATCTTTGAGACGACCGAGGGAAAAGGCATTATTCTCTCGAGTTTCATAGGTTGGAATTCCATTAAATGGAGTAGAGCTTTTGGTAAAAGAAAAGCTCCTCTTCCACTCCAAGATCTATGCTTAATTCTCTAATGGGGTTGAGTTGGTTGTACTACTTCATATGCCTTTTTGACTCTCTACCACATCACTTTCACACTATCCTCAAACTTTCCCTTCTCCTTTTCTGGATTCTCTTTTTATCTCTCTCCAATTTTCATTTTAATTGTTCTTTAGGTCGTCTTGTCGGAATGAGAAAGACCCAGAAGCTATGCACAATGTGGATAAGAAAAAAAACGATAGCAAATTACTTGACTTGATAGATGGAGGGAGGGTCCTCGACTCAAGCACGAAATCCCTGTTGAGTCCACAATCATCGAGAAGGGCACCACTGTGAGATCGAGACAAGCACCTTGCCCTTGGATAAATGACTCGAACAACTCGAACCAACCTAACTAAAAAATGTCCAAATTTGACCAAACCCAACCCAACCCATGAACTCCTTATAAACAAGCACCTTGCCCTTGGATAAATGACTCGAACAACTCGAATCAACCTAACTAAAAAATGTCCAAATTTGACCAAACCCAACCCAACCCATGAACTCCATATAAACAAGCACCTTGCCCTTGGATAAATGACTTGAACAACTCGAACCAACCTAACTAAAAAATGTCCAAATTTGACCAAACCCAACCCAACCCACGAACTCCTTATAAAGTGTTTCAAATCAGTTCAACGTTATTAGTTGAATTATATCGCCATTAGCTTAAAGATAAACAAAATAATATTTTTCTAAATTAAAAATAAATCATGTTTTTTTCCCAAATTACCCCTCCTTTTGATGCTTAATCATAAAGACATGAAATCATGAAGGTAATTTTTGTTGAAATCAAAATTAAATTTATGAATTAAAGTGATTAAAAAAAAAAAGAAATTTACATATTTTCATATCATATTTATATATTTTTTCATTAAAAGAAATTATTTAATCTTAATTTCTTAAATTTAAATTGGGTAATTTAGGTCCCACTAATACACATGTTAATTAAATAAACCTTGAGCCACGTCATTAAATCATTAAAGTATAAAGAAAAAGAAAAATAAAATAAAAAGGAAAGTCATGAATTCTTATTTCTTTTCGCTTTGTCTAAATTTATATTAAAATATTGTTCATTGTTATGGGTAAAATTAAACTCGAAATAGTTGGCAACCATGTTAAGACTAACTAGGCCCGGTGCGTCCTAGAGCTGTGTCTGTGTCTTGTTTTGTTGTGTCTTATAAATATAGTAGGTTCTAGAACAAACACACGTCAAGACAGAATGAACGAACATTCATTTGGTCTGTCTAGGTATGATCAATCTAGGCCCACAGTTAATAAACATCAAATTTGGAAAGAGCCATTTGAATGAATAAGCAATTGACACTAGAAGAATTTTGAGCTATAAGAGTAAAAATATCCTAAAAATATAAAACAAAATCGACACACACTATACACAGTCAAAAAGTAACTTACGTGGATGTGCGAATTTTACCCGTGTTAGTATTACGTTACTCGACTTTCCGACACTTAACTACGTTACAAAAACCCTAAATTTAACCTTTTCTTTTGACCCGTAAATTATGTTTTTTTTTTCTTATACACAAAAAGATGGACAAAGAAAAAGGGTTTAAAGCAAAGATAATAAAAATATCCCTTTTCAAGGAAAAGAGCTAATTTATTTATTAATAAAAACTATGCATCATATTTTCTTTACATTACATAAACATAAACATACATAGTGGAAATGACGTAAATCTTTAACATAAAGTATATGACAAAATCTCATATATTTATTTTATGTTTCATTATCAAACTAAAAATAATAAAATAATAATAATAAAAAGGGAAAAAAATAATGTTGAAAATGTGACAGACTACACGTCGTTAAAGGCTGCCATGAATTGTCGTTGGAAATAAAGTAGTGTCGGTTTCCTAAATTAAGTTTAAAAAAAAAGTTGATTTCTTTTGGAGTCTTCTTCCTTTCACCATAAGTAATTAGTTTTTTCTGTTAAAAAAATACTTTTTATTATTATTATTATTTTATTTTGAACCTTAAATGAGTAATGATTTAATTAAAAAAAATTTAAATCTAATAACGTTTTAATTTTTTTAATTTAAAATTTATAGAAAAGACATCATAATTTGACTAACTGAACTATGCTCAAATTGGTTAATGTTGTAGTTTTTATTGGTAGGAGTTACAATCATTTTCGTAAAATCTGTCTTAATTATTTGGTCAACGGGTACATATTATGCACGTCTCAAGCTATTGTCACCTTCGTTCAATCCAATCTAGTTCATCTTTAATCTAATCCTCGGGACAAACGTAAGATACCCCACGAGCTTTCATATATATATATATACTTATTTTCAATGGTTACATACTATGCATGCCCCTAGCTATTGTTATCCTCGTTCAATCTGATCTAGTTCATCATTAACCTAATCCTCGGGAGAAAGGTAAGATATCCCACGAGCTCTCCTATATATACTTATATTCAACGGGTACATACTATGCACACCCCTAGCTATTGTCACCTTCGTTGAATCCAATCTAGTTCATCTTTAACCTAATTCTCGAGAGAAACGTAAGAGACCCACGAGCTCTCCTGTATAAATACTTATCTTCATTGAGTATATACTATGCACGCCCCTAGCGGTTGTCACTCTCGTTTAATGATCTAGCTCATCTTTAACCTAATTCTCAGGAGAAACATAAGATACCCTACAAACTCTCCTCAAATTTCACTTCAAGGGTTTCCCCTTCAAATTTTAAAACGCGTCTACTAGACAGAGGTTTCTATACTCTTATAAGAAATGTTTCGTTCCCCTCTCCAACCGATGTGAGATTTCACAATCTACCCCCCTTTAGGGCCTAGCATCCTCACTGACACATCGCTCGATGCCTGACTCTAATAACATTCGTAACAGCCCGAAGCTACCGCTAGTAGATATTATCCGCTTTAGCCTATTATGTAACATCATCAGTTTCACGATTTTAAAACACCTCCTAGGGAGAGGTTTCCACACTCTTATAAGAAATGTTTCGTTCCTCTCTCTAACCAACGCGGGATCTCACACTTCTTCACTACTAAAATCCTTGTTACAAACACCATATCGATATGTAAATTCCTTTTTTTTTATAAGTAACATTCTTCCTCTTTCAAACAACTTGTATCATTGTTGTCACGTCAAAGTCAGGTATATTACTCTATCTAAATTATGGTATCCGACATTTAAAGTAATAATTTTTTGTGAGTAAAAACGTCCAAATTAGGACACCAATGAAACCCATTAATGATTCATATAACTTCAATAATTTATACATGTCACATGGTGCACATAAGTTCACGACTTTATAATATTTAATTAAACTTTAGAGTAATTAATAATATTATATATATTTATAATATAAGGTCGGTTGAGATCATCAACCTTCCTTAGACAGTTGATTAACTGCTAATTTACCATATTAATTAGGGTTTTTACCCATATTAATTAGGGTTTTTACCAAAAGTAAAAAGCATCAATGAAGAATGGATTTTATGGGGATAAAAAGATATTCAAATTCAGTTAAAAAACATGACCGGTGCTCATATGACCAGATGACCCAAACTATTCAACCTGAACCAGGTTAGGTTAGGTTAGTTTTTTCCAGTTTGGATTGGGTTTAATTTTTAAAAAATACAAGATCTAGTTTGATTTGACATTTTTTGATCGAGTCAACCGACGGAAAATACTCTTACCATCCAACTAACTCCGGCCCTATTTTAAAAAAATAAGAACCAGTGTTAAAGATGTATTTAAATTGGTAAATGATTATATTTGAACAGAAATTTTAGTAATACATACAGTAGATAAATAAGATCTCCAACATGAATGGTTTGATTGAGTTATGTTGTTGACTTTAATTTGAGTTTCTCCAGTCACCAACCCAACTAGATTCAAAAGATTTTTTCAACCTAACCCGTGTACGTCATTAAAAAAACATTGAAGAAAATATTTATATAAAAAATAAAAACAAACAAAACAACCGAGTAAAAGTCAAACTCGATCCCTAAAACCCTTTAGCTCGATTACCAATTACATCTCTCGAATCAAGCAGAGATTTCTCTTTGGGACATGACCAGCGTTATTCAAACGTAAGCTACATGATTAAGTCCTCGACCCTATCATATCTTATCGAGTTATCAACTCACGTCGATAATCAAATCTTACTGAAAGACCAATACTTTATGCAATAACATTCGAATCGAGACGATAATTCATTGTTGGGATTGGGCAAGAAGAACATGGTGTTGTCTCTTACAAAAGGCAAATAGAAAGCTCAAAGCTTCCCCACATGAAAGGTTGAAAAAAGAACATAAAGATAGGAAGTTAAGTGTTAGAAGAAGGCCAAAGAGTGGAGTTCATGTGGGATTTTAGATATCAATGATATGAAATGAATATAAGTGTGCTATTCCTACATCACCCATGTGCCCTTCTTTACTTGCTTTCTTTTTGTGTTCCATCTTTTTCGATTCGTCTCTAAGTCTCTTTTCACGTATCATACGAGAATTAGAAAGTTGATTCGTGAGGTTTTATCCAAAACCGTACCCCAACTAATCTCAACTCCAGATATTGTAACAGCTCAAGCTCACCGTACTCCAACTGATCCAAAACCGTACCCCAAAATCACCGTATCCAAACTTATCCAAAATCGTACCCTAAACCCTAAACAACTCGGATAGAGTTCACAACCTAATTTTCTATTTTTGAATTGGGTTATCAGGTTGTAGTTTATTTTATTTTTTGAATTATTTTAAAAAATCATATTGTAACAACTCAAGCTCACCGCTAGCAGATATTGTTCACTTTAGCTCGTTATCTATCGTCGTCAGCTTCACGATTTTAATGCGCGTCTATTAGGGAGGAGTTTGCACATTTATAAATCACTATACATCACTAACATCGGTTACAAATGTGATTCTCAAGTTGGGTTTATTGACCTGACCAAAAAAATATCAACCCGTAAACTGAACCGAATTTTTTAGTTTTCTAAAAACTCAACTCGATTCTTACAAAAAAAAAAAAAATCTAAACCAATTTAGATTAGATAATTCAAGTGGATCGAGTTATCGGATTTATAATTAAATAAGCTTAATTTCAATTACTTAAAAAAAAATTAGTTTTTTTTTTGCATTGTTTTGCGTAATTTATCCATTAATTAATTATTAAATTATTATATAATAGTGAATTACGACATGTTTTGTTGGAGACAAATCTGCCAAATCGAAAAGAGACAATACTTGTGTCAAGATAACGGTAGTTCATTTTGAGAACCAATCACATATTGCCACGTATGCATAAATAATGATCAATTTAGATTTTTCCTCTTTTTATTAATTCATACTTTCCAAGAATTTCTATTATCTTCCAATTTGTGGGGTTGAGAAGAGCCACAAGGTTTTGTTCATCATGATCATTATGATTGCTTCCATTATAATTATCGATATCTTCTTTAATCGATTCACAATTATTAATCTGAATAATGATACGCAATATCATGTTACCGAACAAAAAATCTGTTCCTAACACGACAATTAGAAAATTAGTTTGTCCAACCAAATTCTCAGCTTGATTGAAGTTCAAGTGGGGGAGAGTGTCACAACCTCACTAAGAGAAAGTAGGTTGTGACCTCGACAGCATGACAGACAAGGGGCAACCCCCTCAGGTGGCGCTTATCCAACCATTTATGCCAAGATTGAGAAGTGTCATTATGTGACCGAGGATGTCAGTTCTCATATATATATATATATATATATATATATATATATATATATTTGCAGACTCAACTTATTAGGTAGGATGTTTCAATTAAGTAGTTGGTGTTATGTAGATGATCACGATTATAAAATTTAATCATGACAACTAATAGGATAAAAGTGACAAATTTTAGCATCTAATTCCTATTTTTTTTAATGCTAACTAACTCTATTCGATTGAGACTTCAAGCGAGATTAATTAGACTTTAATAAAGTTATATATATTCAAGTTGTTTAGAGTATACAAGCTCGAGATTAAATTAGACAAAATACTCTTAATAAAGTCGGTTTTAATTTTTTTTTTTTTTAATCTGCAATTCAATTTAATAAATAAAATATCAATTATTATCTCAAAGGTAAAGGTTACGACCATCTTAGAACTTAACAAGAGTATCAGTAGATGCACGGAGAACTCCCATATTTTTGGGCTTTGCTCTCTTACTCTCTATAAAAAAAAAAAGTGTAGTGAATACGACTCTCGTAGAGGAGGAATTACTACGGTAAAGAGGAGTTCCGAGCATAAAAGTTCATTCCACTCTAATAGAACTAAGTGCAAAAACAATAACAGTAGCATGCTCTTACGTGCTAGCAAGACATGAGTTTAGAGATATTCTGGGACAAGACGGGATCGGAGAAAGCTTCCTCCCCATTCCCCCTACACTGAGATTCTCCGTCCCAGTTCTTCAGGGTCAATGATATCTCGAAATGAATCTGCTCGGGTGAAATGATATCTGGAAATGAATCTTCTCCGTTACCTATCATTTCAATCCACAAAATACAATGGACCCACTATTGTGGATGGATAAAAAGCAACTTTCCTCTTTCCTCTTTCCCCTTTCCCCTTTCCCCATCCATTTTTGTTCCCAATATCTCTATATTTATACCCATTTCCATGCCCATAAGCAAGAACTCTCCCCTCCATACCCAAAAACAGAGCTTCCATAGCTTAAAACAACTCCCAATCCAAAAACCCACTTCCATTTTCATCCCAAAATCCCACATTTCTCAGAATTAAAGGCTAAATCAGAAGAACATTAGTGAAATTTTTGAGAAGTGATTCCATTTTTCATGGATTTGTTTGGAAATCACTCTGTTTCTTGTTCCATGTTCTTGTTCTTTCTTCTACAAATTTCCATTGGTAATTTCAGTTCTTTAATTTTTGAGCGTTTTGGTATTGAATTCATCAATTTTCAGTAATACCCATTTCATTTTTTTGAATTTTTAGGGGCTTTTGGAGCTAAATTTACGTTTGTGAATAAGTGCGATTTCACTGTCTGGCCGGGAATTCTCTCCGGCGCCGGCAGCTTGAAATTCGACACCACCGGTTTCGAGCTTCGTAAAGGAGGTACCAGGACTTTTCAAGCGCCGCCCGCCTGGTCCGGTCGGTTCTGGGGTCGAACTGGCTGCAGCTTCGATGGCGCCGGCCACGGTGCCTGTATTACAGGTGATTGTGGGTCCGGCGAAATTGAGTGCAACGGCAACGGAGCTGCCCCGCCGGCCACACTGGTGGAGTTCACTCTCGGGTCAGGCTCTGCCACGTCGCCGGACTTCTACGACACTAGTCTTGTCGATGGCTACAATTTGCCGATAATTGTCGAGGGGACCGGCGGGACCGGCGCGTGTGGGTCGACTGGGTGCGTCACGGATTTAAACAGACAGTGTCCAGCGGAGCTTAAGGTGGCGAACGGCGGCGCGTGTAGTAGCGCGTGTGAAAAGTTTGGGACGCCGGAGTACTGCTGCAGCGGCGCGTATGGTTCACCGGCGACCTGTAAGCCAACGAAATACTCGACAATTTTTAAATCGGCGTGTCCTCGCTCATATAGTTACGCCTACGACGACACCACCAGCACCTTCACTTGCTCCGGCGCCGACTATACTGTCACATTTTGCCCTTCTTCCCCAAGGTAGAACACGATAAAACTCTTATTACATCTTATTAATTTTCAATTGCCTTATGCTTATGAAAATTTATTTAATTTTAATTTCTAAAAATAATTCCATTTTTAACTTTAAATTTTCAATATATATATATATATATATATATATATATATATTATATATATTTCACTTTAAAAGAAAATTCATTTGGACCATTTTAGAACCCACTTTTTTTTTTATAAAATGTTACGTTAAAAATTTAGAAATAATTTATAAATAGTTTATAGACAGTTTTCATGTATATATTAATTATAATAATTTATTTTAAATTTTTTATTATAAAAGTAAAAAAATGTAAAATTACATAGAAACGCAATTTGAACTGTGAAGATATTCTTAAATTTTTTTTAAAAAAAGTTGAAAAGATATTAATTAAACTTTTTAAACATTATTTTAAATCAAATATTTTTTTTTATTAATTTAGTTTATAATAAATAACCTTCTAAGTTTAGAAATAAAATAATTATTTTAAAAATCGAGAACAAAATAGCTTTTTAAAAAAAAAAAAAAAAAGAAAAAAAAAAGTGCACAAATTTAACGGTTGATTCTGGGATGTGCAGCCTGAAATCGTCGACAGATTCGCCGCCAAAGGCGGCGGGAGCAGGGGCGGCTACTGGCGGAACGGTGGTGGGACAGATGGTCCCGCTGCCTGAAAATTCATGGCTGGCGGATATGGCGATTGGTGACTCAACAAGAACTCACCCACATTTTGGTTTTCTTATTTTTGTGTTGATTTTTGGAAGCTCTTTCTTTTTTTCATATTCAAATTTATTTTCTTCTTAGCATTAAAAATCCGATTTTGATTTGGGTAAACAAATTGGATTCAAATTTCATATTACTAAACTAAAATTCTCCCTCGGTTCGTACTTTATCATATTCAATAAATCTGTATACCGACTAACATGAATAACATAGCTATTCGTCCATAACATATGATGAATCTGATTAGTGTTCGTTCATCAACAAATTTTTATAGTCGACAATTATTTTTGTAACACTAATAAAAGACGGTGTCATTTTCATTTAAACTATAAAAAAATGAATATCATATCATCCATGAAATGAATAATTTGTGGTTCCCAAACCTCAATAATTTAATTTGGACTATATCGGAAGAACTGAGACGTAAATAATGGAATTTTTAAATCAATATGAATGGATAGATAGCCTTCCCCTTTAAATAATGTAGTTTTAAGATATATATTTTTGCTTGTATAAATATATATATTTTTATTTTTATTTAATTTTATATTTATATTTTTATTATTTATTCTCTAATAATTAGAGATTATATTTTTAGTGTAGCAAAACTTAATTAAATATTAGAAAATAAATAAATAGATATTTTACCAATTAAAAGTGTAAAAATTTGAATAAATAACCCAAACAATTCATATCAATCAAACCCAAAAAAAAAATAACGACAGACTAAGTTGGTTCGTTATTTAGCAAGGGTTGAACGATTGGGTTCAAATTTTGACATTCTCGAATTTTCTTTCCGTTGGCATAAGTTTAGATCTAATTTCGAGTGGAGACAATTGGCGTCAAGCGAATAGATCGGTAAGCCCTTATTCCTTTCACTCTGTCAAGAAAAGATCTATGGAGAATAGGGTCCTCATTTTTATAGTCTCACAACCACTGTCGTGTGTAGGGCTATTCCATCGTTCACACTATCACGATTGAAAGGAGATGTTTGCCGGCGTAAGTATAATCGAGAAGGAGACGAATAAATAAGGCCGGTCGTTGTCAAAAATAGAACAGAGATAGAGAGAGAAACTGTAACTGCCCAAGCCCACTACTAGCAGATATTATCCTCTTTGGACTTTTCCTTACGAACTTTCCCTTTCGAGCTTTCCGTCAAGATTTTAAAACGCGTCTACTAAGTGTTAGATGAACACGACTCTCTATAATGGTATGATATTGTCCACTTTGAGCATAAGCTCTCCTGGCTTTGCTTTGGGCTCTGTCAAAAGGCCTCATTCCAATAGAGATAGTATTCTTTGATTATATTCCATGATCATTTCCTAAATTAGCCGACATGGGACTTTCATCCAACACTAGGGAGAGGTTTCTACACCCTTGTTTCGTTCTCCTCTTCAACCGATGTGGGATCTCACAAAAATACAAAAACCCGATGTGGGATCTCACAAAAATACAAAAACACAAATTGGCAGGTCAAATACATTAGTTGCACAACTGTAAACTACTGCATAAACTTGTGAGACCCAGCTTGTGCTTCAAAAAGCCAATCATCCATCACCGTTTGCAGAAATGGCTTTCAATAAACTACTACATATATATAGCATTACCGCAGTAAATTTTCATGATCGTCAATAACATTATACAAAATTCTCAACAGCCTTGATGGCTGGAAGTCGCACAACTGTAATCAATAACGTTATGATTATTTGCACATTATGTATCTAAACGGATACTCTCTGCAATTTACATATATGATAAGGTGTCTTACCAAAAGCAAGCACAAATCAGACGTTCTAAATCTACAGAAAAACATGATTTTGCAAAATTTCCAGCAGAAAAAAGGGAAAAGGAAAGGAGATTGCTTACTTGAAATTATGTGACCTGTGAAAATCATTGAACCCGAGTTCGAGCCGTGTGATTGTCTTCAATTCTTCGAGTGAGAAGCGAAACTCCATAATGGGAAGCACTGGAGGTGGCATAGTAGGATGTTACAGTGAGTTGAGTAAATCTTGGAAGAGCAAAACCTGCACAGTTAATAAGCAACAAAGAAATTGATTAGTGTCTTAAAATCTTTCTTTCATTATGATCATCCTAATATAATGATTTTGTTTTCAATGTGCTAGTGTCTCATTCTAAACTCATTTGTATGTCCTTGCATCAGAAAATATTAACATGTTAGCACGGCGCAACCAATGTATTTGACCTGCCATTAGTGTTTTTGTGAGATCCCACATCGGTTGGAGAGGAGAACGAAGCATTCTTTAGAAACTTCTCTATAGCAGATGCGTTTTAAAAATTTTAAAGGGAAACCCGAAAGGAAAAGCCCAAAGAGGACAATATCTGCTAACGGTGGGCTTCAGCTGTTACAAATGGTATCAGAGCCAAAGACCAGCGAGGACACTGAGCCCTGAAGGGGGTGGACTCCGAGCGGTGTACCAGCAAGGACACTGAGCCCCGAAGGTGGGTGGATTGTGAGATCCCACATCGGTTGGAGAGGAGAATGAAGCATTTTTTATAGGGTGTGGAAACCTCTCTCTAGCCTACGCGTTTTAAAAACCTTGAGAGGACGCTCGAAAGGGAAAACCCAAAGAGAGAAATATCTACTAGCGGTGAGCTTGGGCTGGTACAAATGGTATCAGAGTCAGACATCAAGCGGTATGCCAGCGAGGATGCTGGGCCCCGAAGGGAGATGGATTGTGAGATCCCACATCGGTTGGAGAGGGGAACGAAGCATTTTTTATAAGGGTGTGGAAAACTCTCCCTACCAGACACATTTTAAAAACCATGAGGTGAAACCCGAAAAGGAAAAACCGAAAGAGGACAATATCTGCTAGCGGTGGGCTTGGGCTGTTACAGTTTTGAAGGGGTAAAATGGATTCGGACATGACAACCTTCTCATTCACTTTAAGGTGACAGTTGGTACGAGTGATACGTGAACGAGCATCTAGTTAGTGGGAAAACATTCTTTTCACTTACAGAGTCACAAATTCACTAAATCATCTCTAAGACCAAAGGTCAACCATCAAAAAGATAAAAGCCCCATGATAGAGTGATGGAATTCCAAGCTTCTTTTCCAGTTTTCAGGTGGAGAGGCACATTCAAAGTTCCTAGGTACGTTCTAATCCTTCCCTTATTCATGTATTTCAACGCAGTAATCAACTTTGTTTTAAAATAAATGAAAAACAATCGCCAACGAAACATAAATCTTTTCCCAAAGAGAGATAAGCAAAGACGATCTGCTAACATACCTCCAAATGCAGCACCGGCACCAGAACACAATAACAGGACAGGCACCTATGAACAAAGAGACAAGGAAGGAAGTCACATAAACAGCTGATGGAACACAACTCACAAGAATCAAGTAATCCACGCAACTCCAATGATAATTAGCAACAAAAACAAAATCAATTTCATAATTTAATAAGAAGGCATACCCCAATTACAAAGGGAAGCCACTTTGGTCCCTTGACATGATTTTGAAGGTGTGGGATCCCTGTAATGAAAGTAAACGATAAGCAATTGTGCAAATCAAATGAAACATTTATGAAAGTTCATTATGATTACCCGTATTGAAAGCATGAACTGCACTAAGCAACCCACCAAGACCTGATCCTGCCTGTTGAACAAGGCAGTATAAGAATATTCAAAAGACATGGAAACCACAATGTTTATGACAAAAGCATTCATAAATTGTTGATCCAGGAGGAACTGGATAGAATTCAACTTCAAAATTGTTGATCCAGAAACGTCCATCAACTATCCAACAGCAGATTAACTTACAGAACACAACATAGAGTACAAATTCATCGCTGGAGAATCAAAAACCTAGAAACATTCAAAAATTTCAAGAAGAAATCAAAAAGGGTAAATTAGAAAGAGAGGAGGAGCTCACCACTGCGGTGGTACTATGGAGAACAGGATTTATGGCCCATTCACTTGTATCCTGAATCAACAACAGAAAACACGCCAAAATCAAACATGAATTCCAGAATAGAAACTATAAGATGCTGATTAAAATAGAAGAAGAGGAGAAAAATACAGGATCGGGTTGAAGAAGAGAGAAACAGCGAGGGCAACGAGGGGATCCGAGGCCTGGATTCATGGTGGGTTCATGGTAGAGATTGCCCCTTCTTAGCTTCTGTTCGTAGACCTCTCTTGTGCCCATAGTGGATTGAAACTGGCTCGGAAGATTTTCGTTTGGTTCCGCAGCAAATTCTCCGGTTTAGTCTTAGGTTTTGAGTTATGAGTGGAACAGACAAAATTGGGCCAAATCCAACGGCGCGTGAAGAAGACGAGGGTATAATTGGCAATGGAAAAAAGAATTTTGCTTAATTTTAAAGGTTGATTTTTCCTAGCCTTCCACATCGTTCTAAAATTTTAAAAAACTAAAAATCAAATTAAATCTTAAAATTTAATTTTTTTTAATTCAAATTTAACTCTTAATTCTGTGAATTAAAATTTTTACTTAGGTTTACATTTTTTTGGTCGGATACCCGAAGATAGGGTTACAATCCAAACCTACCTTTAAAAATATTAAGAAATTTTAGTTTGTAACTAATTTTAATGATATTGTAAATACGTTAGATTTAAAACAATAAATAAATAAAAAGAACTCAAACAATCCAACCCCAAAAACAAAAATCGAAGGTAAGGTTGGGTTATGAACTTTATTCCGACGGCTTAGTTAGCTCATCATAAATTGATTAACCGAGGAGTGATCTAAGAGGAAAATTTTCCACTAAAGGAATGAGGATAAGCAAATAATATCATAGCGTTAAAACGACCCCTTTCAAATCAGAGTGGGAAATTTATTTGCTTCTATTCGAAATTTGGTTAGAAAAAGTTTGCTAAGGAGTGAGAAGCCCTTATTTAAGTCACCACCAAATCCATCCAAATTACATTCAAAAAGAATTTTACAACTCAATCCATTTAATACTAAAAGATCGAACTCAATCTACTCAATCCATTTAACACTGAAAGATGGGAGAAACAAGTGCTAGGGAGGGACGACGCTGGGTCTCAAATGAAGTGAATTATGAGATCCTACATCGATTAGAGATAGAAACGAGTAACGGCCAGAACACTGAGGCATGAAGCGAGTGAATTATGATATCTCACATCGGTTAAAGAAGAGAATGAAACACTTGAGAAATCTCTTGTCAGCAATTTTAAAAACCTAGAAGGAAACAAGTGAATTATGAGATTTCACATCGATTGGCGATAGAAACGAGTGACAGAGAGAGTTTCAAATTATTTCTTTTAAATTACTCCAAAAAAAAAAAAACAAATGAGAATCGAATTTTTATAGCTCACTATCGAATATATGAAACACTCCTCACCCACAAACAGCCAAGATAAGATAAATTTTATACAATTATGATTTGTATTTTTGAAATGGCTTATTTCTTTATATCTTCTCTACCATCAATTTTAGATTTTTACCATTTAAAAACAAAAGCTTTAGAAGGAAAATAAAATTAACAGTTGGCAAAATTTGAGCTTATTTTCTAAAACTAAAAACCTTAGATTTCATTAACCATAAATGTTAAATACAACTTCAAATTGATAAAAATAATAATTATTATTATTATTATATTTTAATGTATGAAAAAACAAAATATGAATTTCCAAAATTTATATAAGGAGCCCTAATTTTAATTTCGAAAATAAGTAACAATAAGCTGAGACAAATTTAAAGCCGCTAAAATTGGACGTCTAAAAATATAGGGCAACCAGAATGAGATTATAACTAAGCCTATTAGAATGAACACAAGCATTATCAATCTTCAACTACGAAGCAAATTGATTCATGGACATGCAAAAGATTTAAGGAATTAGAGAGAACCAAATGCATCAAAACAGATGGATTAATCAGCTGAAACTACACTCATGTATCAAAGGCTATGGCAGAATCCAGAAAAATAAGGAACAATTTAACAGATAAGATTCGTATCCAAAATTTAGGTGCATAACGAGAAAATTGTAACACTATCCAATAAGTTCATAGACCAAAACAAAAAACAGCCAAACAAAGCAAGTTCAATGAAGATAATTCTAATAACCTCCCTTGAGATCATTGACGACATCGTAGGGAATTGGAGTAACAGTCTCCATCAATGCACCTTCAACCATAAACCCTGGTTTGGGGCCTTCTGGCTGCCTCTTTGTGCAAATGACTTCACCTTTAGCCTTGGCGTCGGCCTTCAGTTGATCATTCTTAACCTTTCGAAGTACGAATTCTTCTGCGCATCTAGAGGGTTGGACATGCTCAACACGTACATGAATCCGCTTCTTAATTATCCTGTTCCCCACCTGCAAATTTCATTCAGTAGAATCAGCACAAAAGTGAATGTTTATTTCTCGAATCAAACTCAAGAAATTTGAGTTACAGCATGATTTAGCTGTCCTACATCCAAATCGATTCATGAAAACAACACTTGGCAGAGATTCATACAAAACTTGCTTCAAACATATGTGACAACTAAAATATAATGTGAATTTCAAGCAACGCCAAACAAACATAGTTAGCATTCGACAATCTGAAACCGCGCAACTATAAAAACATTCACCAAGTGATTTGCTATAAAAATTAACGGATACATATTCCACATCCTAAAAGATCAAATCAATAAGAACCAGCGAAATATAAACAGAACAGAGTCCACAACTTATCCAGCCTAAACCTAAACAAGTTACTACACAAATCAAACACAATCCGAGACCTAAAACACTAAAATTTTAAACATTTCCAAAACAAAAACAGATATAATAAAAAAAACGAAAACAGAATTAATCGAAAAATGAAAGGAATCGGAAATCGAACGAACCTGCTTGTTAATCTCCACACCGATGGCGCGCTTGGTAACGTTCCACACACGACCAGTGCGGCCATGATAGAACTTGTGAGGCATACCTTTGTGGATGGCACCATTAACCTTGATGTCGACATAGTCGCCAATCTTGTAGGTCCTCAGGTATGTAGTGAGGGCAATGTAACCCTTCTTCCTGAAGGGCCTGGCGAAGAGGTCTCTGGTACGAGAGCGAAGTCCATGGCCAGCCGGCATCGTTCCCTCTCAGCAGGATAAAACTCTTCCCTCACACTCTCACAAATGAAAGAAACCCTAGGTTTTATGTATTTATATAGTGCCACAGTTAGGGTTTGAGGGTTTTTCTTTTAATGGGCCGAATGTAAGTGGGCCGAACGAAAGTGGGCCGAACGAAAGTGGGCCGAACGAAAGTGGGCCGAATGAAAGTGGGCCGTTCTATACGGGATAATTAAATATTTTAAAATTCACAAGTTTCAATAAATAAATAAAAACCTCAATAATTTGTTTTTTATAGATTTTTTTATTTTTTATTTTTTATCCTATAGTTAAAAAAAATTGTTATTATTCAAGCGTGGAGCTCATGCCACATGTTGTTGACCACCCGTGTAAAAATATATTCCCGAGCATACCACTTCATAAAAGTGTAGAAACAAACATCTGAGAAAACCTCGTATGTTTGGAGAAGATATCAAAACGTTTGAAAAGGTGGGTTGATTAAACGTAACGTTCTTCGGAGTTCCAAATGGGCGACCAAATGCTTATCAAGTTGGCAAGACATCTAAACCTAATTTCATACTGAAGAATATCGTTGAGAAAGAAGTCGAACAGTTTTTAGCTGGTGAGACATGGTTAAACGACAAACCTAAAAGAGGGGTGCTAGAGTCTTTTGTGAAATGAAACGGACTCCTTAATGTAGAGATCAAGTGAGAGTGTCTCGGATTTGAGGTCGGCTATTATTCAGGTTACTAAGTTTGAGTAAAGTCAGTTTATAGAGATGACAACCAATTAAGTGGGAGAGGATGTCGTAAGATATGTTGACTATGACTGCACGACATTTCACGCTCTTCTTACTTTCCATTCATCGAGCGTAGTTATTTACTTTCCCTATATTTTTTTACGGCATGTAACTTCTTACCGCTTTTGATGTTTACTCTCGTTAGAGACAATTTACCTCCCGATGTACGAGTAGTTGTCAAATCTCCATATTGGGATTATACGTTACCAATATTGTTGTTATCATTAATTATATTTGTTAGCATATAAATGCTTTCCAAAACTGTCTCAAAACCCATTTAAAAAAAAATATAAATGCTACGAGATTGATCATTTGTGCCATTGGATATGAGCTCGAGTTGGTTGTCGCAACCCGACCCGACCCGACCCACGAACACCCATATCGACCCTAGCTCTCACACGACAAACTAGTTTATACGAATCTCATCTTTTCATCGTTGTGACTATTTTGAAGCATGTACTTCACGAGGTTCACCGAACGATATATGACCCAACTAATCTTAGGTAAACACTTCAATGTGTCATACCTTAGACGATACCAACATCTTGACATCTAATCGAGCATTCTTTACAGTAACGTCGAAAAATATTAACCATAATTCAGTATTTTCACATACGGGTTCAAATGACCAAATTAGGGTTCTCGAGTTAGGGTTTTGATTTTAAGTTCATATATATACAGTGTGGAATTGCCCTAAAACACGAACAAAAAATCTCCCATGTTTACCTGCTGAAAACGAACAAAAAAATTAGAGTTTGCTACCGATATCTCTGCATAGGACACTTCTCGACGTAATATTTGTCGGAGATCACAGTACGAGTGAATTTCACAACCCAGTTAGTTATCCTATTTTATGGTCGCTATAGTTCTCGATAGTCACTTCATACCGTAAAATATTTTGCTTGCTATCTCAACAACACCTGGAACCTGTATACTGGCTTAAGAATTAGAATGCATTTGGTAAAATGATATACTGGTGCACGTTTGCTTTGTAGATACCTTCCGTGTTAGACACGTAATTAAAAGGTCAAGAACTCCGGAAAGTTTATTTATTTTTATTTTTTTTTGAAAAAAATAAGGAGAATAAAATTAGCAATAATACAAAATTAAGAGGATAAATAGAAAGAAGAGAAGAGTGGTACTATAAAAACCCTTCTTCCTCTGCGCCCCGTCTCCAGGTCTTCTCTCGTTCTCTTCACTTTCAAAGGCATTAAAATCGGAAAAAGGAGAGAAAAAACTCCAAAATTTTGGCGCTTCCTTTCTGTAAAACCCTAATCAACGATCCATTTTTCTTCCTCCGTTCTTCTCTCTCTTGGATTCTCCGATTCTCCGATTCCATTCGGCCGATCTGTTTCACTTCCCTCACTGTTCTACTTCCTGAATCTTCTCCTTTCAAGATCTCTGCGGATTTCTGATT